GTAGTGTAGTGTAGTGGTGTAGTGTAGTGTAGTGTCGTGTTGTGTAGTGTAGTGTAATGTAGTGGTAGTTGTAGTTGTAGTTGCGTTTGCAGCTGCAACTGTAGGTGTAGTGTAATGCAATGTAGTCAGTGTAGTGTTGTGTTGTGTAATGTAGTGTGGTTGTAGTTGCAGTTGTATTTGTAGTTGTAGTGTGCTACAGTGTAATTAGTGCAGTGTAGTGTAGCGTAGCATAGTTGTAATTGTAGCTGTAGTTGTGGTAGTAGTTGCTGTTGTAGTGGTTAGTGTAATTGGTGTATTGTAGTGTAATTAGACGTAATTAATTAGCGTAGTGTAGTGTAATTAGTGTAGTTTATGTAGCGTAGTATAATTATTTGTATTTGTAGCTGTAGCAGTAGTGTAGTGTAGTTGTTATCTATCTATCTATCTATCTATCTATCTATCTATCTATCTATCTGTCTATCTATCTATCTATCTGTCTATCTATCTATCTATCTAACTATCTATCTATCTACCTACCTATCTGTTTGTCTGCCTGTCTGTCTGTCTGTCTGTCTATCTGCAAGATTGAAAACAAAGCTATTCTGCGAGACTTCCTCAATTTTTGAACTTGACAACGTCAAAACGAAACAAATCTGCGAGACCTCCTCAATTTTTGAACTTGACAACATAAAAAACGAAACAATTCTGCGAGACTTCCTCAACTTTCGAAGTTGACAACATCAAAAACAAAACAATTCTGCGAGACATCCTTCCAAAATGGAAAGTTGAGTGCAGAGCTGACGGCCTCGTACCAATGCGTTTTGCGATTTTTCCACTCCACCTGTCTAAAGTACTGCCACTGCCAGGAAAAAGTGATGCCAGGTCATACTCAATGCCTGCGAAGGTCCCCCAACGTTGCAGTCAACTGTCATTCCCGCATGGAACTACGCCCCCCAACTGCTAGGAAAAGTCACCCCAACTTTTTCGCCCATTGTAAACGCAGCACGAAAAGAGGCCAGGCCATACGAAATGCTGCACCTGTCACGCAAATCATCTCAGCAAACCTGACGATTTGATGCTCCAAAATGTAACCCCTTCAGCAAATCAGCGTCCGGACCTCCTAACAGCTCTGATGAACATGTCTCTTGTACTGCGCCTGTCACGGAAAATCCATCTTTGCAGATCCTCTTCAAATGTCCCACGCCTGCCATCGTTTTTTAAAAATGCTACAACACCCTCACGTTTTGCTTCCCTTCGGCAAGGTGCACAATCCCTTGGGCCTGCCACGCGAAACGACATCTGAACGTCCAAAAGTGCTCCGTAGTCTTTTACACTTTTGACTTCGAAACGTGTTTCGCGCCACAACAGCGTGCACTTTTTCGACATCGCAACTTCTAAAAGTGCTACGAAGCCGAAGTGTTTTGTACATTTTCACTTGGAAATGTGCTTCACGCCACAACGGCATGCACTTTTTCGACATCGCAACGTCCAAAAGTGCTCTGAGCCCGTCAGTTATTAACACTTTTGACTTGGAAATGTGCTTCTCGCCACAACGGCGTGCAATTGTTCATCTCTCATCTGGCCAGCTGGCTCCGCACCCGCCGGTTTAGCGAGCGGAGCCACAAATCATTGGAAAAACAGTGTTTGGCGACTTTCCTACCTTTTCGCGCACCTGGATCTTCTTTCTTCTCACTCTTTCTCTTTTTGATCTTCTTTCTTCTTCTCTTTTCTTCTCTGACTCTTCCCATCTCTGCTTTTCATCTGTCCATATTGTCGGAAGTTTAAACTTCCTTCCACCATAAGTTGATTCCGTTGTTGTGGGTTTCACTTTTTTGTCCACCTGCGCCAACCACACAGGGCAACGACATTGAAATTTGGGGTGGTGGGGGTTATACTTTTTGGAGCAGAGTTTCATGTCAGCGTAGGATGGTAGCTTAAAACTACCACAGTCCTCGTGAATTCTTTGTGCACAATGCACCTCAAAAATTCCGCATGCTTTGCTGAAACCAAGAGGAAAACCCATGGAAAATAGTCGGAAGCCCAATTGCTTGAGTAGGATAACAGGGACACAGAGTGTTCCCTCGAAGGTCAGTCTCTTCATAACTTTCTTTCGGCAATGACAAGCCCTGCATCGTCAAGAAAAGCTACCTCAACGTGTGGATGATGGATGAAATCAGCACTCGTAGAGAACGGAAGAAGCGAACGACCTCACGTCGATGTGCCTAGCTGCACAAAAGACTCTGACTATGACAATGATCACCTCTATTTGCCGAACTTCCAATAATTTGAGTACAGAACTCATCCCTAGCTTCCCAAAATTCATGAATCTTTCCCATCACACTTGCGTTTTGGGGTCACTCTGCGAACTTCAGCAATAAATATTGTGTGCTTCTACTTTTGTGGGTGTCTGTCTCCATTCTATTTGGGATCACTTTTAATCAGGACAGTTGACAGAGTCCCAATGTTTGCTTCACCAGGCGGCGCGGAAGACACGGACTAAACGGAGAATTCTGACCACCCGCATCGCTTTGATGATGGACAAATCACCAAAACGCGCTTCGCCTGCTCGCAAAATTGCTGGAAAAATCCCCTGTTGGCTTGAAAGGGTTTTCATTATTGTAAACAGTCCCCATCAAGTCACTTACTAATGTAACATAATGTAACCCATACCCGTAAACCCACATCGCCATTCACTTTCAGGGATTTTGGGTATTGCTCAACTGGATGATCGCAGGAGTACAGAAACAATTTTCTGGAGCAGTTCCATCAGTCAAGAAAAGGATGATGCCAAAGTCTGGGCCTCCAAGATTTCTTCATCTCAAAAAGGCGAACTACCTCCAAGCCCCTCCGACCCTAGTCCGTGCAACTGCCGTTAAACGGGCCTGTGTCGATGGTGGTCCATGCCACAGTGTCCAACAGCAATTCAATGAGGGAGGCTGAGACCTGCCGATGAAAACAATGGCGGATGCATTGGGATGAAACTAAACCCTGAACGAAAAGCCTCTGGCGAAAATCCGGGCGAAGAACTATACGTATGGTCAGGTAATGTCAGGTATAATTCTGGACAAGATCGCATGGCAGGTCGGTTTCGTCGCTTTCGCAATTGTGAAGAAACACAATTGTGTTGACTTGTGGTCAAGCAATGTAAGATTGGTCTGAAGCAAGCTGGGAATCAAGACCACAACTGGTTGAACGAAACCAGGCACCAAACCACCACTCAGCCCTGAAATTGTGGGTATCAGGGAAGGCTTAGCCAGAAGGAAACCACTGCCTCTCCACCACTTGTACAACTCTTGGGGAAAGATCCACAACTCAAAGCTGTCAAAGCTAGTGCGATATGAAGATTCTTTTTTTTCTTTTCAGGGTTGCCAAGGTTCCCCATGGTCACTAACCAGTCAGGTTGCAATAATCACATCCAAGAAATTCCATTGCCAATCTTCCGAACATACGAAGGCTCTGCCAAAGGCATAGATACGCAACAGAAGCCTCGGATGGTCTATCAAAAAAGGGACAAGCCGCCAAAGCAGCTCTGCTTAAAAGTGTAGGGAAATCCGATGCTCATTATACATTTTGATGTTTGGGTGGATGTCAAACCACAGGGTCCTATTGGCATGCGGCCGCAAGCCGTCTTGTGGCACTGTCAGAATAGAATTCAGACTTTGTTTTGCCCATTTGTGGATGAGTGATGAGTGCTGCGAGTCAATGCTCTGTGACCGTCTACCAAGCAAACTGGATAAAGTCCTGAGTCACCTCTGGACTCTGCAGCGCAGAAAAGCAAATCGAAAACCCATACAGTATTTGACATTGCAGCAGGGAAGAAACGGATTTGTCAACGAGTCTGTAACAAGTCTTGGCAAATCATTTGCACCATTCATAGATGGATCTTTCGCAAGCCACAACCGGCCTATTGCACTAAAGAGAAGACCTCATCAGACCCCCCCAATGACACCATGCAACTCACCGGTGAAGCCCAAAGTCAAGGCCTCGGGGGACTCGGGGTTCTCACCAAATATCACGAAAAATCACTAGGACCGCCATGACTTGACATGCAGATGGCTTCATGATGGCTAAACAGGTGGGTTTCAGATAGATCATCTGCAACTGGTGTGGCTGCCACAGAGCCTCAAGCTGTAACTGCCATGTAGCATCTTGCCTTGCGTATCTCATGCCATCATTGCTGGAGTTTCCCAAATTCCCAGAATCACCCAACGACAAACCCGACAAACCAGCATGTAGCTATAGGAAGTTGGGAAACTCTGTAGTTCCTCGGCTGCCCGGAAGTATGGATACCCGTAGCCGCCACAGCTCTTTGGGATGGTACCATTTTCGCTCCCTCCATTCACCACAGTTATGGCCAACAATTATAACTGGCTCATAGCCCCATTGAAGTGATATGTAACCAAAAAATTGCAGGAGTTATACTCCCATCCCATGTTTTTCTCACTGTAGGGGGCTATAACTGCACCGGATAGCAAGACACGTGATTGATGAGGGTAACCACCAAATTCGGCTGATAGGTCGCATCAGTCGCATGCTGCGCGGCTTCTTCCACCTTGCACGAGGACAACATGGGGGAAACTGCTGCCATCGAATAATGGCTATAAAACATGGAATAATACATAGGTATTCCATAGGAAATCATATTGATATAAATGGAATAATGGGTATAAAACATATTCCCAGAATATGAATCTCTACAGTTTGAATGGATTGAGGACCATCTCCTATGCGAAGACGATCCCAACGTCATCGAACCAGGCTGCCGGAAGCCTACGGACACAACTTGGCGACTCGATTCCCAGCATCAACTGAGGCCTTTGTTTACAGGGGGCCAAAGGTGAACCTCAACACAGAAATGCCTTACCCGGCGGCCTGGAAGCCAACCACAAAGGCACTGAGCAGAGTAAACGCTGCAATGCATAACTCCGTGATGTAATGACCTCGCATGCCATGTGTTACTTCGGCCATGGGCAAACACAACGATGTAAAAGTGCCAAAAACTGTGTGACATGTTGATGCAA